GGGGGGGGGGGATAAACATTAGGTGATAAAAATCTGGCGAGTGATAAGTGCTGATTGTTGTGTGCTCCTCTTAGAAACTTACAACGCACGGGAGTATATTAGAGATAAAAAGACTACAGTAAGGAAACTTGTTCAGTGTTGCTTAATCCAGAATTCTCCGTAGCATTTGACTAGTGAACATTTTTTCAACAGAATGCTTCATTATTTATTTTCTTGGAATTAGAATTGAGAAATATTGGCTTTGGAAGTTCCCAGAAATAGCTCTGTGCTGGGATTCTAGCAGTGGGCACATGCAATGGGGCTGGCGATGAAGACCTATCTGATTTAGGGAAAGTAAGATTTACTATGGCCTGGGCCAGAAGAGACTCAGGCTTGGTATTATCACTTATATGACAAAAATTCAACCCTATAGAAAAGCTTGGGAGAAAAAGAGCACCTTTTAATCAGTTGTTTGAATTAACAGTTTAGTTATTATGGCTGTCTCACACAGTCATAGAAATTTATATTTTCATTTTATCCCAAAGAAAAACTTGACCATCTTTCTTTAATACTATCAACCTGGAAGCTTGACAGTAAGGATTAAAAATTGCTCCTTCCTTCCCACTTGGTTATTGGAAAGGCTCTGAAAGGTAATCAGTCTTGTGAAGCTACACTTTACAGTCTGCATAAAAATGCCATGATTTCCCTGCCTCTCCCCAACCTAATTGAAAGTGCATAATATCACCCAGCTGGGGAAATGTAAACGGTAAACATATGCAATATTTCATGCTACCACACAAAAGCTGGTTACTAATAGGGACTGGGTGGTTGTCAGGACCAAAAAGAATCTGGAAAACAAGTGTATTTTTCCATCTAGAAGGAGAGCTCTTTGTTCCTGCCACCCTTCCCCCTTCACCTCCTCCCTCCAGGCTTCAAGCTACAGCCAGATTAAACCAAGGTCAGTCAACTCATTCCTTGCCTGTGTAATTCTAAGGGTCACCTAACAATGTATATTGACTAACACTCTCTTATATCAACCTTCCTAAAGATGAGGCATTTTACTTTTGGCAGAAGGTGGGGTTGGAATCATCCGGTTTCCTACCTACTTCAATTGTTATGACAGATGGTCCTATTATCTCTTACCTTAGCCGCTACACCTAAAGATCCTTGGCCTTGTCACCTCTTATCTTCCTCTACTTCATCAAACTCCTATTGCCAAGATTATCTCCTTTTCTACCTCTGATCATCCATGAATGTGTGTACAGGATCACATTTTCCATGAGTACAAAATCTCAATCTTACTTTTCAAAGTCCTCTGCACCTTGGCAGCCATCTGTGCTTCCACTTCAATTACTTACAAATCAACACTCTCTCCTAAGGCTCCTCACCTCTTCTAAATAAGGCTTTCACCATAGGGGTTGTAGGAGAAAGTCTTCACTGTATTCCTTCAAAAGTCACTTCCTCTTGTACCATGAACTCAACTTCTATTGCCCATTCACGTTACCTTACGACTGGCTATTGTTTTAGTTCTGATGGCTGATACCTTACAGGCGGGTCAAAGCATAGCACTTGTCAAGGGTACAGTGTCATTTCAGTTTTAATAGAGTGAAGGATATATTTTTATCTGCTTCAGAAATCGAGGTGGTTTGAAACTTACTAAATTAAAACTATATTCATCCTTCAATAGTTATATTACCTGTCAACTGGCACGGGTGGATGGTATGGCTTGTTGACCTTGGCGTAGAGACCCTCCAAGTGGTCTCTCTCTGGAGACAGTGGACGGCCATCACGAGGATAAACCAGCGGTCCGGCCCGGGGGGGCGATGGGGGTCTATAGATGTTTGCTGGGGCACATGGCTCCCGGAAGTGGTTCACCCTGGCATAATTGGGGTCCATCTCATCATCGTCCATATCATGCAGTGATCCAATCGTACCAGCAGCATAATCAACAAGACATCTCGCCTGCTTTTCCCTTAGCTCCTGATGTTTTGCTCCAATCCTGAAAAATGTAGAACAGGTAACAGGGACATGTGTGAGTTTATATGCTAATACAATGATACGCTCTCCTGGCTCTATGTTAATTCTTCCTAGTTGGTCACTTAGTTGTCACTTTCCTGTATATTCAAGACCACACCATGCACAAATGTGAGTAACATATTTCATGGGATTAATTTTGTATCTACAGCCTTTATTTGTTACAGAATCTTTACTTTTATAACAATGCTGTAGGTATTCTGACATCTTGCCCACTGATGATGGCTGATTGCAGAGTCAGGCCGATTTTCATTAACATTCCTTCCCTATATGTGGGATGCACTCATGGGAACAGTACACCTTTGGTGAGATATTACACAAGCTTGCCTTGGAACAGGGTTGCATGTTAAAGAGCCCATCAGAATCTTATACTTTGTCTAGGATTTCACTATTTGGCACCTTAGAGTCCCAGTGTATTCTTCTAAAGAAGAGAGCTTGCAAAAACTGATTTGATATGAAAAAGAAATACGGAGGCTTTATGGTCACTAAAAGCAGTGGGGCCAGATGTAATATATAAGAAACTCTAAGTTTTTTGGTTATCTAAATGGGGATCATTGTGTCTCATTATATAGGGACTAGGGATAAAGAAAATAGTGAAGAAATTAATAGACTCCTGACAGAGATGAACTGGCACATATAAGTGAATTAAACACCATTACTGGCAGAACTCCACGGTGCTAAAGCCTTAAGTGATATTACAAAATGCCACTGCTAATCAGCGTACTGTGTAGACTACTGGGATTGGGAGCAGAAAAGTATACTTAGGTGGACTCCAAATCCATCTGAATTTTGAAAATTGGACACTTAATCTGGAAAGTGTTAGATCAGCTCTCCTAAATTCCCAGTTAGGTGTTAGAATGGAAAGGTCGCTGTGTATCTCAATGGACAATGGTGATCTGATGGTGTCAGGAGGTTTTCAGCGCTAATGAGGGAAGAATGTAACTTTTACCCATCCCTGGGCAAGCAAGGTGTATTGTGTACGGGACGAGAGAAGTAAGATGATGAAAGAAAGACTCTCAAGAAAGGATGATGACAAATCCGGAGTCCTGGGCTCAGAGAATATGAGAGGGCTGTGGGCTAGAAGCGAAAGATCTATATATGCCTGGAGATATATATCGAAGGCTTAGATGAGTGAAAACAAAAACTGAACTCTCTCAATATCTTCTCTTCAAACAAAAACAGCTGTTTTTGCACAGGGCAGATAGTTTTATTTTACAGAACATCAAACTCTTTGTAAAAATCTTTAAAAGCCATGATCTTTCACGGTATTTTCTCTTTAGGTAGAATGGCTTTTTTTTTTTTTTTTTTTAG